GAGAGGCAATTGCTGATGAACCTATATTTCTATGTATGTGTGCATAGATGCATATTCTCCAAGACACACGTGATTTTTTAAAGCAGTGGTCCTCTCAGCTCGCAGAACCCAGTCAAGGTTGTTAAATATTAACCATGTGCACACAGTTGCCAAATACCTCTTGTAGTTCCCAAAGATGCAGTATTGAAATAGTCTAAAATTTTCTATTTTGCTAGAGATTATTCAAAAAAAAGGGACGTTTCTTCACCTTCATACAGCGGCAATCACCTAGCAATGGAAAACCTAGAACCTTAGATGAGGACAAATAAAAACAGAGCAATGAGAAAGAGAGAAATACTTGTAATTCAGCCAGGAACCCTTTTTTTTTTTTTTTCCCTAATGGATTCTTGCTCCCAATCCACCCGGAGTAAATCGACAGGCATGTGGCATGTACTACAGATGGATCAGCCATGGTAAATGTACAGCTGCACATATCTGTTACACAGGTGCTTGGGTTTAGAGTCGCTGGCTAGCCAAGAGCAGTCAGGTTTTGGCAAATGCCCATAGTTCCATGGATTGGACGAGAAAAAGCAGTGAGAAAGTAGTCAGCTGGCACTTTCCATAGCAGCTCCCAAGCCTGAGCCAAACCTGCCAGTCTCGTTCCTCACCCCATATTCTGAATCGCTGTCAAATTCCTAAAGTTATTTTGCAATTCAGTGGGAGGTTTTTCTGGCTGGAGTTACTGGAACAGGGACATTGGGATACTTAGTACCTCTGTGTACGGTATTAAGCCCTTCAGCTGTTGATCACTGTGCGGCAAAAGTGCTTGTGTGGGCTTTTTATGGTCTTTTTTTTTCTTTCCTGCCCCACCTTGGTTGTCATCCCCCGCCACCACCAGAGGTGAAGGAAGGGCAAGAGCCCTTTGTGGACAGGCTGGTGCTTGGCAGCGGCAGCGCAGGCTGCTCTTTACTAGCTGGACGTGCTGCAGGTGTAACTGAAGTACGGTGATGTTTATTATGTCCCTCTAAATAGCTGCTGCTGATGTTGCAGAACTGGTGCTGAGCCAGTAGAAATGCATGAACCGTAATCAAGTCTGAGTAGACAACTTTATGATGTTGACAGAGACAGAGATATATATATCTCTCCACTGTTAATGTTACGTTTAGATTAATCTGTGTGATATCTGCATATGACAATGGGCCAAATCACAAATCAACGATCTGTTGTGATAACAACATTAGAGAGGCCTACCGAGGTCATATTAAGCTTATACATCATGAAATAGATATACATTTTTCTGACAGTTCCATCAGTTTTTCATAATCTAAGATAACATTCTCTCCAACACTCTAATTAAAATAATAATAAAAAAAGGACTTATGTTCCTTATGTGGCAAAGATACCTATCCAGCTATGAGCTGATAGAGATTTGCCTCTGCTCCTTGCTATTAAGAGATGCATAGGAGTTGTCTGTTCATGAAGATCTAAATTTGGCACATATATCTGTGTGTTGATAGAGTAGTACTCTCTGCTCTATAAATAGCCTGAGCCTCTAGTGACCAAAGACGGCCAAAAAGCGAGGCTTCCACTTAAACAGAAATTTGGCTTTATCAGTATGATAAACCTAGAATGATGGCCAGGGCGTAGGACAGCAAGGCCTGAGCACTTGTCTCAAAGATCCAAGCTATGAGTGTAAAATCTGCAACTGGGAGGAACCCTGGAAGCCTTGGGGGGGCCTTAGTTCTGCTAGAGACAACTTTTGGGGTTGGAGAGCCCCTGTTCAAAGCCAGAAAGCTTCAACCTCGGTTGGTCCAGCTATGCAGACCATCCCTAGACCTAGACCAGGGTACCCAAGGTCAGGTACCCTGAACATCCCAACTCCTTCAGGTTTTGATACTCCAGCAGGAGCACAGATGGGATTTCACTCAAATAAGGCTTAACTTTACTGAAAGCTTATGTAACCCAAATTCCTTTAGACAAAACATTTGAAATGCAAAACCTGGTGGCTTTAATTAAACAGTTTTGTTTGGAAATTTCTGACTTCAGTCTTCTTATGACTGTCTCTAAAATACGTGTGAAATGTCTGTAATTTAATCAGTGCGCATTTAGCTTATAAACCTAATGATAACTGGTTTAATGCCAACATTTTTGTTGGCACTGCAGTTCATTTTATTATAATCTGTCAGAGACTCTGGGACTAAATTCATAATTCTTGCTTCGATATCAAGAATGGTAAGAAAGAATCAACACATTTTCTTTAGTTTCAGAGAAAAAACCTTGGTTTCTTGCCTCTTTTGAGCCAAAAGAAAACATTAATTAACAACATTGCATCTTCAGTGAGGTCTGGGTGAGATCTCTCTCTGCTATGTAATCATCATTTTAAGCAATGACACAGTATCCTCAGATAATTTCTAGCATACATTTGTTTGACCTTTAGTTTGAAACCACCTGCAATGGGGACTGGTCTTTTTTCACTCTTCACTACCTTAGCCATTTACATCCAAGTACTTAAGGCTTTCCTATTTTTGCCTAAGTGTGGGATATGAATATATGACCACACGATATATCGATTTCATATGAACAATAAATGGAGATATTATTTCCCACCATATGAAAAAACCACAAAGCTAGTAATTTATTCACACCAAGAAAATCAGTAAAACCACATTTCAAAAAGTGGTTTAACCTTTATTTTATTCTGCTTTTCTTTCCTCTTCCCTCCACCCTTATTCCTTCTCAAGAACGTCACAGGCACGGTATGCATACTGTGGGAAGGATATTAGTCTTCAAACAGACTTCATCCAGCCCAGCTCACAGCACATACAGACAAAGGACACCTTCCCAGCAAAATATTTTATAAACTGCTTTGCAACCTGCCCTTCCCAAAGGTTTTTTGTGCATTTTAATTAGCTCAGATTCCCCCCCCCCCCCTTCATTAGCCTGATAAGACAGATAGTGAAATATAGCTAAGAAGAAGATATCAAAAGAGACAAATGCTGCTTTTAAACATGCTTAGGTGTTGCTGGTGCTGTCAAGGCTCGCTGTGGCAGATCAGCACCCAACACGTCTATGAAGCACGCCACATAAATAAAATAGGGAGTGCCAGAACTGGCTCAATGATGGACAAAAAGTTCATCCTCTGTGGTTTTTTTCAGTAGCTCATCTGTGGCATGAGGAATATCTGAAAAATAACCAACACACTGTAGACTGACGCAGCTCTCCATGTGACTATTAATAGCAATAACTATGCTAATGTATATAATTAGCTAATTACCTGTGGTATAGACATGAAGTGCTGCATAAAGAGGGCTTTTTAATCCCAGATAATCTCAAATTTTAATTACCTTGCTCAAAAATGACCAGGTTTTTTGATTGCATAGATTTCATTGTAGTCTTTGGAGATACTGTGCTAAAAGGTGGGTTTCCATAATTTAGTCAGGAAATAATTGCATTCTCTTAGAAATAACTGAAAAGATGATAAGCCATCATCTGTTGCAGAATTTGGCCTTTCTGCAAAAATAAATCCTTTCAGAGTAGGGACGCTGTGTGGTCAAACTGATTGCCAGAAAGAGAACACTCTCTGTTCATTATCTAGATCTCTTCAGCCTACTCAATTGGAGAAGGAATTTTGCAAGAGCTCGCAATCACTAGAACAGAAAATAGATGCACTGAAATGCTATTACATTTACAGAAAGTGTCGGGATAATTTATTTACGAGTTGTTGCTTTTACATACTCCTCATGTTTTACAAATTTTTAGCATTTATTCTTCCCAGTTGGGCCAGTGAAAAGCAGCTAATTAAGTTGTTGTTCAGGCATACAACTTCCAACCCTGTCCAGAAGCAGAGAAGTAGGAAGAAGAATTATCCAAGGGTTTTTTTTAGAAGCTTCTAATAGATTCAGCTGGAGTAGGCAGAGAAGGATCCAGCTTATGCCTACTTGTATGGCAACTGGAGCTCACTTGACCATGTCGAAGAGCTGGGTCCTTCCCACCAAGGTCACAATATCCTCTGCAATGATATCCTCCCCAGCCTTCCCCAAGAGGAGCAAGGGCTTTGTGGCCAGGTATTCTGCTGAGAGCTGGCTGGCTCAGCAGGGCTTTCGTGGCTGATTTCTGATGAACCTGCCAACACGCAGATCAATGCTCTTCTGCAGGTATAAAAACTTGTCTGTCCTGTTCTAGTAAACGTGGGGTTGTCCCTCAACTGGGAGGCAACTTGGTGGACACAATATATCATAATTGGAGCTTACTTCCTTAGCAGAGACTTTTACCAGCTGAAGACAGTGGGTGCCTGAGCAGGGAAAGCTGTGAGTTCATTACTTTGTGGATCTGTAGGTCTTTACTCCTTGAAAAATGAGGAAAGCAGAAGCAGAGGCGTCGTTTTTTCTGGCTTGTTTCACCATTACACTTGCACACAGAGTGCTGATGATTTAGGCCTTCAATACATAGTTTGAATACTCTCTTACTATGGCTTTGTCCTACAGGTTTGGCCATAAAGAAGCAATGATTCGGGCTTTAATGGGGGTCTTAAAACTTTTTGGTCTAACAAGCAAATATCATTTGGTGTGTCCAGCAAAGTTATTATTTCTTTATGTCAATTAAATTATGTCTGAAGCAAGGTTTAAGTGCGGTGGCATTGCAATTAAAGATCAAAAACGATTGTGTTTTGCATGGCAGTACTGTAAAATACTGCTATTTCTATTTAAAAAAATCCATTTTTCTATAATAGATTATATTGTTTCTTTGAAGTGTGAATTTAAGCAGCTAGTGTTTATAATAATATGTACATCATTAATCTTCAGACTTTAATCTCTATAGTCCTATTTAACACAGTGAAGCTTCAAAGGGCACGGATGCCTTATATTGTTTATTGAGATATGAGGTAAAATATAAAGGAAAGATCTGGGGAATCAAAATTATACCCATAACCTTTTTTTTAATCTGCATAATATATTTAATGCTAGACGTGTTAGAAAGCTACCTGTATATTTGCCTGATGAACAGTAATACGGACATACTGGAAAGGGTAAACATATTAATTAGAGCCTGCACATGTCTCCTTCTTGCTAGTGTAATCATTAAATTGATTTTTCCAGTCTGACATGTAATTGTTCCAGCGATGGAATCCTGCTTTCCACTCTCGTTCTGCTTCATCAATATTTCCTGTAAAACATGAAATGGGTTACATTAATCTAAATTTGAATCTCTTTATATGCTAATTGAAAAATAATTTTGATTATCAATGTCATTTGCTCCAAATACATTATAGGATGGTCTTTTGCCTCTCTTAAACCTGGAATGACTGATAATTTGGTGATTAACACTTTATCTTTACATCAGGAAGGAAGGACTGTAAAGATAGGCTGGCACACTGCAGGGTAATAAATATACTTCTGTATGGGCTTGTTGCTTTTTGGATAATATTTCTGTCCACCATATTTGTCATTTTAAAGCCACTTTTTTTTTTTTTTTTTTAAATCCTCAAAATATTACTTTGGTTCAGTATACTCTACGGTGAAACCCACATACCCTGAAGACTACGATATGTGAACTGAGATAGGTGCTTGTAAAGATACAGTGAAATCACAGCTTTGTTCAAGGCAACAGTATTGCCATTAGTTTCAATGGATTTTAATGGATAGCCAGGATTTTACCCTACTGTGGAATAAATCCGCAAGTTTAATGCTTAAGGGGCATGAATTTGGAGGAGGATACTGTAAAATGTGCACTACGTCAACATGAAACCATTTTCTCTTTTCTTTTTCATTCTAGCCTATAAAGCATTTGCCGACTAATCCTGTGTCCCAAGGCAATATTTATTGCCAAATTTGTTACAGGCATCAGAGCAGAGGGTGAGGATGAGAAGCGTAATAAAAATATATCATTTTACAAGGTTCCCAGAGTATTTTACGGACAGGGATCACTTCTTCCAGTCCCAAAAGGTAATTAATGCTAGGGAGAAATGCAGTGACCTTGCAGGAACAACCCATACAACAACTAAAGGAAAGATAATGTATGTAGGCTGTATCGCTCACTGTGGCTTATTATGTTGGATCAGTTGTAGACTTTTTCTTAAAGCTTAGAAATTATTTATGATCTATGAATGCCTTTATTCAGTCTGGACCTAATTATCTCAGCGTCCCATACTGACATAGATTGCTTCCAAAAAAATTTGGTAATTGTGTTCATGAGATAACAGTTCCATGGTTTCTTTATGCTCTTTTGACTTTATGTTCTTCTGCTGCAGTAGAGCATAGGCCCTTTCCCTCCATAAATACACCCTTTTTCCCTTTTTTACGATCTGCCAGCACTGCGAGTTTAACTGGTTATGTGAAAATGAAATACTTTTGTGTTTCACACATCAGTAGAGAAAATATTCTGGAAAGAGAGTTAACAGATTCAGAGATTTAGTTTGGAGAAGCATTCAGTAATTTGGTTGCTTATCTGCAGTTTAGCTCCAGACCAAACCTTTTTGGTCTGGAAATCCAGATGGCAATTTAATGAGACTTTGAAAGGAGATTTACATTACTTCTTGGTTTCAGTGAGACCAGAAATAAAACCAAGATACTTTTCTTTGGGGAGGTTCTGTACTTCTGCATGTAGTCAAAAGGGAAATTGTGAAGAACAAATATAAGAAAAAATAGTTAAAAAATTAACCACACTCTTCTCCCTCAGTTCAAAGATGTAAATAAGCTGGGTTACATCAGACATCAAAGAAAAATTCAGATCTTTTTTAACATTTTTCTGCAGGCCACAGTTGTCATTAACTCAAAGAGGATTTGTAAATGCTGGTAACAATAAGAGCACATTTTGATTACTAAGCTATGCAGGTAAGACTCACAGAACTATGGTGAGAAGACATGCACAACCTTTTACTTTCATGACTCTAAGAACTTGCCTTTGCATGTTTCTTAATTTAAAGATGTAGCCAGGGTCTCAAGTAAAGCCAAATTTTCCACACATGTCAAATGGATTGGTAATTTAGCATATGAACCATTACTAGTATTATTTGGAGAAAAATGCCTCAACTGTATTTCTTGTCTTATTCTTGATTATGAGTATCCAGTTGTATTTATCCAGGCAAAGCATCCCCTTATGAATTAAAAAAACCTATGTTCCTTCTTTAATTATTCAGGTTTAGATGTGTTTGAAGTCTGCCCAAAGACTTTAGAAACTGGAATACCTCTACCATACACACATCTTCAATTAAAAGTCACTGTTCTAGAGTATAAACCATGAGGCATTTCAGTGCTTCTTAAAGATCACTGTGAAGAAGTGAGTCAGCTAGAGAAAGCAAACAACAAGAAATTCAGAGTAGCCACCCTTATGAGTTTTAAAATACAAAAGGGGAAAGGAAAACACTGAAATAAGAACTTGGATTCCTATTTGTTTGCTTTTTTTTTTCTTTTCAGTGATAAGATCCAAATTGAAGTCACAAGTCAATGCATCCCATTATCACCAACATCATCAATCTCTTTGAAGCAACCACCCATGACTTAGATGAGCTGACAGCTAGAAGGAAGAAGAAAAAAAAAAAAAAAAAAAAAAAAAGGGGGGAAAAAGAGTGGAGAATTCAACTTGACCAATAATTACAGCTCAGACCACTGGGTTACTACAATGCGCTGCAGTCCTATGGAAGTCAGCTCATAATTCAGTAAGGTTATTTTGCTATATGCAGTCATTTAGGCACTCTCAAACTTTATAGGAATACCAATTAGCCTAATGCAGAGCCCATTGAATTTTACAAGGAGAAAAGGGGAGGTTTCAGTAGGCAATGAATCATACGTCAGCGCTTAGGTCCCAGTTTAACAGACCAAAAAAATGAAAGTTGGGGTTTGGGTTTGTTTGGGTTTTTTTCTTTTGATTCTTCAGCAGCATCATTGCAGACAGCTGGCATTTCTTTTCTTTCCACACAGGCATACAGCCCTTACTTTAATGGCATTATAGCAAAGTTAAATTTATCTCCATACCATCATTTGTTGAGCTGCTAGATGTGCCAATAAAGTATTAATCTTAAATGTGGTATTTTTTTGTGGTATTAAGATTGGGACAAAGGCCATATAGCTGTTATGATATAGTATAATTAATAAGGGATGACAAGTTAGAATTAGTTTTTCTGTCCTCAACAGCTCATAAATGTGTGTACCTGCAAACTTTTTGATTCATTAGGATGATAAATGCTATGAGTTTATCTATGCTTTAGATTCTCACGGTGATAGTTTCTACACAAATGTTCAGAAAGGAGAAAACAAATAGTATCTATATTTCAGTATCTCTATTCAATGTTCTTTAATCACAGAGTCTGAATATCAATGCTTTTTTAAACCAGAACAGTATATTTGTTTTCATATGTATTTTTAAGGACTTCAGGTTTTTAATTTTGTTTTGTTATTTTCTTCTTCCAAAAGTCAATAGAGTTCTCTGGGAGATAAAATATTGTAAGGGCTGTTATCTCTCCTATGACCTGGGATGCAAGGTAGTGAAGTTAGAAAGAAATCAGATTATTTATCTACATAGCTTATTGCCCATAAGTGCACTGAGTGCAGTCTTACTTTGTTGGTAGGTGCGTAGTATTGGTGAGGTTACTTTTGAGTTGTTTTTTGCTACTTTTTGCTACGTTTTGAGCTACTTTTTTGCATGCATAATGAGTGCAGCATCTAGTTCTGTGGAAACTGAAAACTAATTCTGATGGTGAATTTTCTAATTAGTCACATTTTTTATATTCTTACTACCCTGAGTATTTAGCTCTATAGAATCCAGATGCTATTTGGAGGATCATAGCAAATACAATTATTTTGGTTATTCACTGGTCAAGAGGTTGAACTTTTCTCTTCCTCCACATTCAAAATCTTTTTAGGGTTCTTTTAAAATATAATGTATTAATATTAGCTACTTTTATGTTTCATTTCTCTATAGATAATATATGATGCAGTAATATCAAATAAAATAGAAAAATATGTACTATGTGTATTAGGCACACTAAAATAGTAATGGAACACAAATGGAAAGCTTGGCTGCCTGCAGCTTTCTATAATCAAGAGGAAGCTGGCATATATATATATATATATAGTTAGGGCTCTAGATGCATTAAAGATTGTGTTGAGGATGTAGAGTCTAACATAGATGCTTTTATAATTAACATACGATTGCTCTAAAAGCTACTTAAGAGTCACTTAGTGTTTACTGTCCCTCTGATGTGTTTCTTTTGGAAGCAGTCATCAGAAAAAGTTCTGGTGATCGTCCCAGTGCTCACACCCTCGACTGAAATATCAAATGCCGAAAGCTCCCAGCTTGTCTTAGGGTGAGTGGGAACAGAGGGCATTCTCAGCGCCTTTGCAATAGGCTTGAAATCTGTGTAGAAATTGTGTCTAGTTGGAACTGAGAGCCCACGCAAAGCATGTCTAGGTCCAGTTTACCTGGCTAGTGATTATTATCAAGCTAGGCACAAAACTACATGCTTTGACTGGTGTCGTCAATTATACTTTTATATACTAAAATTGAGGGGAAGACATTGAGAAATATTCCCAAATCATACAAATCACTCTAGAGATATAAAGGCTGGTATTTTACATATGGCTGGTACTGTTGTGTTAGCGTGTGAGGCTCATTTTTTTTTTTTTTATTAGTTTTCTCAATCCATAACCGTGACAAATTTTTTTGGAACATATATGATTTGGTTGCTTGAGGAAAATATCTAACCATAAAGATGGCAGGGACTAAATATTTTCCGCCCTCACATATTCAACTGCCTCAAGGAACCTGTCTTAGCCAGCCTGTTATGTGAACAGTCTTGCTCAGACGCTGAACACATTTGGAGCTGGCCATCACATGCCGAGAAGACCTCAGGGGGGTGCCAAGGTTTGTGCCAGGTGTGGATCGGTAATTAAACAAGTATATTCCAAGCACATCCATGTCAAATTCTGAGCACTTGGCACCATGAGAAATCCCCTTTCAATATCTGCAAAATAAGTTGGTTTGATTGTACTCTTCAGGTTCTAACTGATGTAATCCCACTTTGTCTATCTGAACCCTACTTCAACTATAACTTGCAATAATGGTAACATAAAATTTCCTTACTTCTTGTTGTCTGTCATCTTATATCATATCATATTAAAGCAACCTTTTTTTTCTAAGAATACTTCAATGGAAGAAGTAATAGAAAAGATAGACCCTCAGAAAATGAGGAAAGATGTGTATTTATGGCATACACTGTCCTTTAGGCATAAAAGGAGATAGGAAATGCAAAATAATATTGCAGTGAAGAGAATTATTACAATATAAAGTGTTATATCATGTTTGTAAGCAGAATCTTAAAGGCTTCTTTGTCAGAATTTTATAAGATTGTATCAGGAACATAAATATAAAAGTAAAAACGTAGTATTTCTGTTACAGTATTTCAAGGACTGATAGATGTAGATACATGGCAAAGCAGCGCTACTTCTTGACAATATTTTTGTCTCATTTCTTTATTAGGATCCAGGCACGATGATTCTTTCCTTTTGCTAAGAATATGCCGAGGAATTTCTTTAATTAAATTATGTAAATTTATGTTGTAAATTACTGAATATGGCAAAATAATGTATTTGTGTCTCCTGGCAGATCCAGAGTGTTGCTTTGTCATCCCTCACGCCACCATGCAAAGCAACTCTGCTGTCCTGCCAAGATGTGCTCTCTTCTGCTCCGCCACAGAGCATTTGGTGATGCACGGTCCATGTGTCAGATGCACATTTTTCAATACAGCTCCACGGCCAGGTTAAAGAAATATGTAAAATAGTTCAGTTCTCCTGGCTCAGCATAAAGGGCTCATCAGAATTTGAGAAAACTCCCTCAAATCCATCCAAAATTTGGTATACCATGATTTTAAAATCATGGAGTATGCTTTATAAACTATTCCTTTTACCTACTGATTTTGCTTTTCTTGATTTAATTGAAAAACATCTATTGAATTGAGAGGGGATAAAAGTTGCACCATAATACAGTTATAGGCTCAAATGGGGAAGGAACAAATTATTTCAGAAAGAATCATCTGTGCACCGTGAAAGTTTACGTATTTTTAAGACTAAAATTCAAACTGCAACTTACAGAAAACTTGTAAATTACATTTAAATTAACATTTAAAAAGTGTATCTTTTATTTTTGAAATGAGACTTTCCCTGCCACCCCCACCCCGCCCAGTCAAACTGCAGAATGGCAGTTCCAGAGCTGCAAAATCACTTTATAAAATCAATTCCTTTCAAAGCCAAGAAGCATAGAGGCTTGGGCTGTTTGGTGGGCTTTGCAAAACCAGCGGTATCGGGCTTCTAAAAAAAATCCGAGCCCTTTGTATTCAACTAAGCTTAAAGTTTCAGACAGCCTGTGATATTTTTCTGGGTAGTGAAATCTCATAAACACGCTGTACACTCAGTCAGGCACAAATCAGTTCTCTTGCATAGGCAAGTCCTGAAGTTTCCTGGTTGTCATCAATGACTGACACTCTAGAAATAAACCACAAGGCGCTCTCACGTGAGGTGTAGAACAGAATCCCCTTTTGGCAGCAGCAACACACTTCATATCCTCTGCGGATTAGCTGCATAATAGTACAAACCCATAAATAATAGATAATATAAGCCCAATATAACACCCCTCAAGGTACCTTAGATACGTGAGGTTTATACAGAACACCTAAAGCCTCCGGAAATCCCAGTGCCAGCTCCCACTTCAGCAATGCCCTTCCCGCTCTCTCCGGTACCGCAGGAACCCGGAGCCAGGCAGTGCCGCCCCTCGCCGTGGGATAGCTGGAGAACAGAGATTTGCAGCGCTCCAAAATGTCTCACTTCGCGGCCGCATCTGTGTTTTGGGGCAGAGAGTCTGCACACCGCACAAGTCCTGCGCCTTGGCCTGCCCCCAGGTTTTGTCCTAGCGCGTAAGAGGGTGCTGGAGGGTGGTGAGCCCCCGGCCAGAGGCGTAGGGCACGCGGCAGGGTACACCCTCACCGCAGCACGGACAGCTCTGTCCGACATCTGAACGTCTCCGAGAAATTCAGTCACAAATAGGAGCATAAAGATTTAAACTCAAGTATCCCAGCTCACTGCAGGGGGGTTGGGCTAGATGATTTCTCAAGGTCCCTTCCAACCCATAGCATTCCATGATTACATTACTATCAAGCAAAAAATCCTTGTATAAAAGTTATATAAAAACATCTATAAAAGCATCTTTACCTGTCATTTCCAGGACTTTGGGAAAAAAAAATTTCCAGAATCGACACTGCTGAGCACGTAATTTTGTCAGTATCTCTGAAGTGTCGGTATTTAATGTCAAATATTTTTGTTCAGTACTGGTGAAGACTGGCCATCTTGTTCCATTAATCAGGGTCCCATTTGGAGTTCTAAATAAGAAAAGAAACGTTTCATTTGGAATGAGAAATGACCTCAGCACATCAATAAAGCATTATTTGTTTTTTGTTTAACTGTTATTTCAGCTTAAGTATGTTAGTTTGGAGTTACTGAAGTATACTTTTATAAGCAATGGGGAAAAAAAGGAAGATAAATTTGATTTAGCTTCATTTAGAAAAAAAGAAAATTATTTGTATTTCCCTTTTGGGGTGTTTGGGTTCACTTAAGGGAAAAAAGTTAATAAATGACCATATACAAACAACACTTGTTGAATTTGGAGATTCTCACAGAAGCTGTAAATTATTATGGATGACTTAAGAAGTAACTAACCAACAGTTTGGGAGGCTGAGTGGTTTATGTTTTAGTTTGAAATAATAGATTGGACTAAATAGCTTGGATAAAAATGCAAGTAAAGGTACAAATAATGTCTAAACTTTGGATGAGATCTATATTCGGAGAGAAAACAATTATTCCTCATTAAGAAGGACCAGTTCCTCCTTGAAGTATGCTGAGCCCCATCAGTGGAGTGCCAAACATGAGCAACCTCAAGTCTTTTGGAAACCAGAAAGAGGTACAGAGCACTTGGCCCTTTATAAAACAGGCTCTGCATGTTAAAGGATCACAGCTGTTACTACTAACATAGTTGTGATAAGTATTTATAATACAACAGAATTCATAAGATTCTAGGGACAGACATCCAGTTTTGCCCCTCCAAAAAGGACAATATGTAGTATCTATATGACTAAAGGAAAAAAAAAAAATTGGTTTAAGCATGTAGAAAAAGAACAAAATTGGGAGTATTGCATAGGGAACAAATGAGATGGAATATGATTTTCAGAAAAAAGAAGATGATTTGTGACTGTTTGAAGTATAAATCTGTGTTAGCTCAGAAGAGGTTAAGAATACAAATTAAACTTCTCATTGTAGTGCAAGCAGGACTCCTTTTCTAGAAGCTGATATCAAGGAATCTGGGGTTTAAGGCAGAACAAGAGTATTTGATGATTCTTTGGGGGACAAATTAAGGAGCACTATTAGCTAAGTTAATTTGGTTATCTCTACTTTACTTTTCACCAGGACTCTTCCCAGAAGGCAGCGGTCAGAGAGGAGTCCAGGGTGTGTGGAGCCCACTTGAGTTCTGCTTGCCAAGAGTGGGAACAAGGTACCAGGTGTAGGTGGGAGCAGTCAGAGCACAAGATTCAGCTGCTGAAATAATATCGATACCTCTTAGTTCATTCAGAATGAATCAAGTTTTCGGCCCATGTTTTAGTCTTCTGCTTTACTCTGGAGTCTTTAGCGCTAGGCATCGGCTGCTTACGGAAATGTGATTTTGAGAATAAGAGATTCAGCATGTCATTTCCTGAATTGCTCACTTCTTTACTAATTTTTCTTTACTAATTCAGCTCTGATTAACCTATGGCACCCTTTTTAACTGCACATTTATTTGTGCCTCACAAGAATGATGACTTAAGCAGAGCTGACTTGCACTTCAGTTCAAGATCAGAACGCTAATGGTGCTGTCAGTATTCATTCAACAGCTTTTATGCTATGAAATAAATCATGACATTCCACATTATAATTTACAGGTGTGTGGGGGATTACACAATGGCTACAAATGTATTTTACTAAAAATGATTGAAAGAACTGTCAGGTGAACACAGCATTTTGAAATACGTGAGCCTGCTGATTACGACATTCTCTCCACATTTCTAGGAAGCTTGTTGTTCAAAGAAATGTCCAGTAACTTCCTTCTTAGCTCCGTTATTGAAAATTTCCCAAGTTAAAAAGTAGCTCCCAGTTACAGCAAAACAGAGATCGCAGGAGTATAATTTTTAACTGGTAAGAACAAGTTATGATTATAACCTCGTTGTTCTATCACAATTACTGTTCATTCCTTCTTGCTAATAACTTCATGATGAGAATTGCAGTGCCCAGAATACGATGTAAAATTCCCTGTTCTTTGCACCAAACTCAAAGTTTAATAATATTCATACAGAAAATTAAAAATATTGTGAGAATATCCTTACTGAACAGAAAGGAATCCAATACACTGCACAACCTTGTCTCTGTCCATCTATGTGTGGATGGACAATCTTTGCTGATAGATTATAGGAACTTGCTTGTACGGAAACAAAGCTCAGAATTTCCACGGAAACCTTCCTCCAGTCATCCTTATCAATTCCTCAAACCTCTGCTTTTTCATCTTCTGGTACTACTCACTCATGTCTTCTTCAGCACATTCCAGTTTTGCCCACCTCAGAGCTGTCAACGGGGCCTGAAGGTGTGTCCTGAAAGGGCTTGGGCCACGCATCTTCAGGACAAACCTCTATCTTGTGCATCTACCTTGGCAAACATGAATCGCCTTTCTTAGACCTCTGCCCATATCCGTAAGCTCTAGTCAGGGAAGACCTTCATTTTGTTTGGAGAAAATCTGAGCTTTTTCACTGAATATTTTAGAAAGAAGCTAGCTCCGTTTCTGCATGCTTTTTAATGTTTGCAGGAGCAGGTCTTAAGGCAATTAAGAAATACAATTATTTGAATTGCTCCCAGAGAAGAAATGCAAAAAAAACCCCAAGCCCCAAAACCACAAACCACCTGTGTGTAAACTTTGGTCTAAACAGAATTTGTTTTACTGTTTCGGCTATTTTTTTCTTTGTATATGCCCTGAAGTTATAGGCTGGACTCTCTCTGCTCTCTGATAGTGGTACAGCAGCTCATTTATAGTTAATTATTTCATTAAGATATGTCTTTAAGGCAGCCAAACTTATTTTCTCATTAACTTGAAAAACAGAGCATCTTTTTGAGCTCAGTCTCCAGTAAAGCTGCTCTCATGTTCTACCTTTATACATGTATGTACTCTCAGGTAAGTTCACAAGCATTTTTTAATCTTGTGCTCAGTAGAACTTGCTTGATATTACTTACTGTTACTAAGATCAGGTTCCCCCCCCTTTGGGTATTGTACGTCTATAACTGTCAAAAAGTGAGTCTTGAGAATTAAATGTTATAGTCAAGACACTAGATTTCACATAGGAATGAAGAGGGGTTTAGAGGAGCTTATTCACTGATAAATTTCTATATATTTAATGTTCATCTTCAACAACTTTAGAAAGTTAATTTGGTTCAGACGGAAAATGCAACAACCTGAACACAGTTCTGTTCTTCATAATAAACATACAAAACCATTCTCATTCATATGATCAATATAGCCTGAAATACAATACTTGCTCACTGCATATTTATTAATTTTTACATAGCATTACTTTTACAGATGGTTTATCAAACACATAAACACCAAAATTTAATTAATCATCTAATTTTTTTTTTGTAAGTATTCATGGTATAAAGTACCTGTAAAATATTAACTTTATTTTTGTGAGTCAGCTCTGAATAGTTTTCACTCTGCTGCAGTATCACCATTTAACAGAGAGGTTCTTTTGTAACGTTGTTATACTTTGATATAGTCCACAAAGAAAAATTTTCTCTGATAAGTCTCTAGAAGATGGTTTTAGGCATCATTTAGCTTCCTAACGAGTGTTGTAAACACTAACTGTACCACATGCGAGCTCAGATTGCCCCAAGCTTTCACTGTATTCCTATTTCTATTTGTAAATGGGTCAGGTTAAGACATTGTGTGTTTCTCTAGAGGAAAAGAAAAACAAAACCCACACCATTTTACCTGTCTAGCACAGATGAATTATACCAACCCAAACTCACTAAGAGGTTCACAGGCTGAAACACAATTTTCCTTCCAGTCCCCAGTAGCGCCTTCCTCCAGACAGCCCGCCTGGAAGACCCCAGATGGGCAAATGCTTGTTCTGCCTGGCTGAAGCTGTTCACAGAGATACAGCTCCCTGAGAAGAAGCATGCACTCATTTCACCCGAGCGGTGTGTTATTGCTCTTAATTGTCTATTCAGTTGCAGCTGGCTTCCCTCTGACCTCCTCCGAGAAGAGCCCAGCAAGCTCGTTTGCCTGCGGTTCACGCCGCAGAGGATTTCCCATTCCTCCCCGTCGTGCGGGGCAGCGGGGAAGCGGCCTCTCCGCGCACAGCCCGCCTCCCTCCTGCTCTCGTCGGGGCAGCAGCAACCCCGCCAGTCACAGACGCTCGGCAAGGCAATTTCTTCCTCCGTGCCTTCTGCAGGTTATCACCAGACTGGCATTCTGCTGGCATGTGGCTTGTTAGCTGAACGGGTTGCCCACTGAGATTAATGAAAAGTTATGATAATGCCGCTGCACCCTCTGCTTCCCCCGTGCAGTATGAATTAAAATCAAATGGAGACCTGTTCCTCCTAGGTGTGACTTTATTGACTTCACCTGGGTTGTAATCACTGATGCTCATTTTCAATTTGGCCCCCTTTTTCTTTTAAACAGCTGGGTTAAAGGGAGGAGAGAGTACATGTGAATCATTGTTTTTAGCTTTCATGATTCCTCGTAGCTTGCAGGCGGTGCTGGCAATCAGCTGTTTTTCTCGGGATGGCGTTTTACAGTGTGTTACCATGGGCACAAGGTAACAGGGAGGGGGAACGGCCTTAGAGCGAACGCAAGGGCAGCAGTAACCCCGGCTCTTGCACGTTTTCTACAGTTGCATTACAAAGACTTTGAGAATTAAAGTTGCATTACAAAGACTTTGAGAATTATGGCAATAGCCAGCTCGGCATCAAATAAGAAGCATACTGTAAATGTTTCACCCCAGGGGTAGCTCTGGGAATGAGGGAGGGTTCTGCACGTGTCTACGCTGCAATCAAAAGGAGCTGCCGAAGCTCGCCCAGCTGTACCCACGGTGGCTTCAGAGCAGCCACGCGAAGGCTGCCAGCAGCACAGCGGGCTGACCGCCCCTGCAAACACTCGTGCAGCACCCCAGTACGGGTATAAAACCTGACAGGAGTGAATGGAACTAATAATGTCTTTGTGCTTGCAGAAATACATAATGAACTGCTTTTTCCTTAGCGTTGTAACTTTTGGTTATGTTGTCTCCTATTTTCTACCAGGTGAAAGGGA